GATTAAGTTAGACTTAACTTAAACTTAACTCTTACACATCGAAGGACTCTTATCAACAGAGTGAAAAGACAACCACAGAATGGAGTGAACATTTGCAAATCACCTATCTGATAACGGGTTGGTATCCAGAATATATAAAGAGCTCCTGGGACTCAACAAGAAGAAGCAAACAACCCAACTCAAAAACAGATAAAAGGTAAAAGACATGAACAGACTTTTCTCCTAATGGAGACGTGCCGGTGGCCCATAAGCACATGACAAGATGCTCAACGTCTCTGGTCATCAGCGACATCCACGTCCAAAGCACCTTGAGACGCCACCTCACTCCCATAAGGGAGGCTCTAATGAAACAAACGGAAAACAAGCCGTGTCGGCAGAGACGTGGAGAAATGGGAGTCCTCGGGCAGGGACGCGGGTGGGAATGCAGAATTGTGCAGCTGTTGTGGAAAAGCTTGGCAGCTCCTCCCACAGACACACAGGCGTCTTGTGTGATGCAATTTCACATCTGAGTGTACGCCCAAAAGTCGTGAGTGCAGAGACAGACGCTGGTGCTCCAGTGTGCACAGCAGCAGTAGGCGAACAGTCAAGAGGCAGAACCACCCGGTGTCCTTCGGCAGATGAACACACACAGATGCGGCCCAGGCGCACCTTGTCTTACTGTCCTTTGCTGTCCTGTGTTTCACAGGTACCGTTTTTTTGTTTGTTTTTTAACAAATTGAAGGTTGATGGCCTCTGTCTGTCGGCTCTGTAACTGTATTTCCAACAGCATTGCTCACTTCACGCCCGTGTGTCACATTTTGGTCATTCTTGCAATATTCCACACTTTTTCATTCTTTCTGCATTGGTTATGGTGATCTGTGACCAGCGATCCTCGATGTTACTACTGTCCCCGTTTGGGGTGCCCCGACTGCACCCACGTAAGAGGACAAACTTGACTCAGAAGTGTCGTGTGCGTTCTGACTGGCTCTCCAACTGGCTCTCCCCCGTCTCTCTCCCTCTCTCCTCGGCCTCCCTGTTCCCTGAGACACAATACTGAGATCAGACCAATTAAGGCTCCTGCAATGGCCTCTGATTGTTCAAGTGAAAGGGAGAGTTGAACGTCTCTCACATTGAATCAAAAGC